GCAAGACAAAAAATAAAAGCCAAAAAAATTTACTATTCGAATTTGTTTGAGAGAAATAATCTTTAATTCGAAACGTACGTGGGAAATTCTATGAGAATTCATGCATGCAGAATGGCATGCAGAAATTAAAATCGAGAACATTGTATAAAGCTGTTAAATTTAAAGAAGAAACGTCATATGATCAAATTGTAACAGCTGACGAATTAAATAAATTTTTTGTATAAGTTGGTCCTAATCTGACCCAAAAAATTCCTATCTTGACCAACGCTTTTCCAATAACTTCCTTCTTAAATTCCTTTAAAGAATCCTTTGAGGAATATGAACTTTCCTTTAAAAAGCTTAAGTCTAATAAATTAGTTGGTCATGATGTTATTTATTGCAATGTTTTTATCGACTCTTACGAAGTCATTAAAGATATTTTATTTCAAGTTTTACAATGTTCAATAAAACAGGGTATTTTTTCCGACAATCTAAAAATAGCCAAAGTTTCACCTATATTTAAAGGAGGTGATGCAACCAATGTTTCAAATTATTGCTCAATCTCAATTTTGTCTGTTTTTTCTAAATTTTTAGAGAGAATTTTACATAATAAAGTTTTCAATAATTTATCTTCAAATAATATACTGTATTAAAATCAATATGGGTTTTAAAAAAGTTCAACCGAACAAGCTATACTCCAAATTATCCGCAATATTTCTGAATCTTTTGAAAAATCTCAATATACGTTAGGTGTTTTCATTGATTTATCAAAAGTCTTTGATACCATCGACCACAAAATCCTATTTAAAAAAATAGAGTATTATGGAACTAAAGAAAATATTTTAATGATACTTAAAATTTATTTAAGCAACCGTAAACAGTTTGTTGGCAAAAAGATATAAGGTATGGGGTCCCTCAAGGTTCTATACTAGGACCTCTTCTCTTTCTAATTTCCATTAATTATCTCCCTAAAGCCTCAAATTGAATGACGGTCATGTTTGCCGATAATACTAATTTCTTTTCATCTCATAACAACATAACAACATTATTCCAAAGTATAAACATTGAGTTAAGAAAAGTTGCTGACTGGTTTAAAATGAATAAGCTGAAATGTTGAGAAAACTAAATGGATAATTTTTCATTAAACTTTAAAAAAAAAAGTTACTGCCTCCTGTCCATGCCCTTAATTTTTATTGACAAAATTCAAATAAAAAGAGAACTATCTTCTAACTTTTTAGGAATAAATATTGATGAAAACCATAGTTAAAAGGATCACATTGATTTTTTGTGCAACAAATTTACTCAAAATATAGGAGTAATGTACAAAGTTAGAAATGCTTTAAATAAACACAGTTTAATACAATTATATTTCTCTTTAATCCATTGCCATATAAATTAATTATGCAAAAATTGCCTGGGTTAATACCAATAAATCTAAACTGCTACCTCTTTATTGTCAGCAGAAGATTTTTGCTCGTCTTATAAATAATAAAGAGTAATTTGCTCATGCCAAGCCAATATTATTTCAAATAAAAATTCCTAATATTTATCAGCTGAATATTTTTAATATACTTTGTTTTATGAGCAAATGTAAAATTAACGCATCTCCTGTTTCTTTTCATAATCTATAAAAAATCTTGTATAAAGCCACCTTGCTGTGGAACTCACAAGATAATGATACCATGCTTTGTATCAGTCTAGTGTGTTTCAAAAAATTTATTAAAAAATGGCAAGGAAATAATTGCTTTTGTAAAATTTGTTTTTTTACAAAAGCAATTATTTCCTTGCAATTATTTTTTAATAAAAAAAAATTGTGTAATTTTTATTAAAAATACAAAAATTGTAATTTTGATTTTGTGCAGGCATATTATTATTTTTATTTACATGCCTTTTTTAACTATTTGGTTATTTAATAACGATATTTGTTTTGGTGTGTGTGTGTCCATAAATTTATATGTGTTGATTTTAATTAGTTTATGAAAACTAAACTATTGTAACTTATCAACGTTAAATAAATTTTTGAAATAAAATAAAATAAAAAAATATATACCTTAAAAGATAAAATGATAATCTTAAGAAATGGTGACCTAACTCAACAACCTTTTTCTCTAACTAATTTTTGAAAGTCATGTATTTTATTTCGAGGAGCTTTTCTTTAGAAAAATTTTGATTTTTCACATGAATGGAATTATCTTTCATTCAAGAAAAAACTAACAAATATTGTTTTATCTTTTGAAGACATATTTTTATATTTTTAAATTCTTCTGAAAATAAATATGAAGCTTATTACATAAAGTAATATATAATAGTATATTTATCCACATCTTATGTGTTTATGAAAACAGTACTTTTTTAAATATTTTTATATTTATATATAAAAGTATTAAGAATACCAATTTTATTTATATATTCTTACGAAATTTATATTCTCGCTAAATATTACTACGATATTGTTTTGTTTTATTTATTTTATATTTCATGTTAATTTAATGAACTTGATATTTACGAGCGGTTCTCGATGATAAGACCTGAAGGTCTTCTGCGAGTCTCCGCGTTTGTTTTTTTTGATTTTTTTATTTTACCTGTATATTTGTTTATATTTTATAATTGAATGACAATTTTTATCTTAACTTTCTTATTGTACAAGTTTATTGAATATTTAAGAAAAGAACACACACACACAATAAAAAAGCATGACGTTGTGGTGGTATATCCGCACGATCTGTGAATGAGTCTCTGTTATCAGCATTATGTTATGGTGGTATTTCAGCAGGATTTGTAACGACTGTGAGTTCTGTGACTGAGTCACTATAATCACGTTGTGGTGGTATATCAGCACGATCTGTGACTCATTAATATACTGCAATTAATATATCGTGATGCTGATAATATACTGTGAATATATTATCAGCATCAGTTACGACAAAATTATTTGGTGTTTCTGTAGGTTTTAAATACATTTGAACACTGCCATAGTTTTTTTGAAATTTTTACCAACATTCGGCGTTTTTTAGTTTTTTTTATTCGGGGAGCATTCGCTTCCCTACGCTCTCCTGCCTATGCCTCTGTTCATAATACTAGCTCTAAACTTACCTTCTTTTGTTGTTGATATTTTATCTCATTTTTATTTTTTGAAATTTAAAATCTTAATGAATAAAAGGTAATAATAAAATTAAATTATAAAATAATAATAATTATAATAATATTAAAATCTTTTTATATTTGCATCTATATATGTGTTTTTTGTTTATATTACGTTGTAATATAACAAAAAAGTGTAACAACGTAGTGTAATTTTTTATTTATATTCACATTTGAAAGGGGCTTGGCAAAAAGACTGAGCTTGTCTTCTTTTTGCTCCAGTCGTGTATTTCAATTTTATAACAAATAATATATATAACAACTAATTTTGTTATTATATATATTATCAGTTATAAAATGTAATATATAAAATACTTTTATGGTGAATTTTAGAATAAAAAAGAACATAATAGTATACCAGGTTTTATAATTAAGTATTTTAAAAATATTCTATAAAAAGAGAGCACGAATTTAAAAGACTACTTTGTTAAAAGATTTAAAATAAATTTTAGTTTGACATATAAATAAGCAACAAGGAAGACTGTTTATGTATCACGTAGAACAAAACAAGAAGGAAAAAGTCTGCTAAACGTAGACAGCTAATTACTATGTGTGATATAGAAAATGTCAAAGGAAATTTTATTTCATCTGTCTTTTATTTTATGACACAATAGTAATTGTTGTGTAATGAAACCTTTTATTAGGAAATATAAAGACAGATGTAATGGAATTTCATTTTAGCATTTCCTATATCACACGTAGTAATTAGCTGTCTGCAGACAGAACCTTTTAAAAACAATGGCCTTGTCCTTCACCTATTTGATGGATTATACAAATTGCTCTAATTATTAGCAGGTTGTATAGTTTCATCAAATAGGTAGATGACAAGGTTATTGTTTTGAAAAATTCTAAAACATACAAAAAAACGAAAGATCGAAAAAATGATCCAATTTAACTTTTATTAGATAATCATGAAAGTGATTGTAAATTAGACAGATTCGTACATAAACACGCTCACAAACACCCCAAGTATATACATAGAATGTTCTGTAAATCAAAAATCTATGTCTGATTATAAGTTTTTTATTTTAATTTTTTTTATTTTTTTATTTTGTTGTTGCTTTAATAAACTTATACAATCCATGTTTGATCTATTCTATAAAGAGACATACTGCATAAAAAAAAATAGTTACATATAGAAACTTAAACTAAATGAAAACTCAAACTTAATTTAAAATATATTGTAGTTTTGTTTAAAAAAATCTTGAAAACTTTAAAAAAATTTTGAAAACTTTATTTCCATTCGTATGATGATTTCAAAGCTACTCGTTTTTATTCATGTTAAATAAGTAAGAACACTGACTTTATTTTCACCTTCAAATTCATATAAACACTGCAATTTAATTTATTAGCTCTTATCTAGTAGATATTATTCCGATGATGATTTTTTATTTGTTTTTTTTAATTTTATTTTTTTAACATACCTTTTAGGAGGCACCTAAAGTTTTATTATATTGTACACATTATAGATAGCATAAAATTATTAGGTTTCAAAATAAAGGAAAAATCCATAAAATAATGTTAGTTTCTAAAAAAGTTTTTATCTAATTTAACCGGATCATCATCTAGGGCCTTAAAAAAAAATTGTTTACTTACCCGAACCCGGGGTCAGTTGGCGCAAACTATAAAAATGATTATTAATGTGCTATTAATGCAATATTTATAGAAATTTTTTTACTTTTTATTTTGGTAACAACTTTAAGTCAATGTAAAGGGCTTATCTAAATAATGCTGATATTGACTTCATTCACAAAATAGTTCTTCTCCAATATAATTTTTATATAATTACAGCCCCCAATTTATCCAAAAAAATATTAAATATATTAATACGAAACTTATATTTTAAAGTAAAAATATCGTGTTTTTTTTTCCATCCGAATATATCACTAAAAATTTTTTTGACCTGTGGACTCATTTTGGCTAATTTGTTCTCAAAGTCTTTTTTTTTCAGCTTGGAATCTTTACGTAAAGATTTTATATATAACTTCAGTGAATGGAATACGCCATATGTCTTTCACATATATCTAAACCAGGTGTTTGTAGTGTTTTGTTAAATTTATTAAATAATTAAAAAAACTGCTGTTTCCCGCTTTTTAAATCTTTTATATAAACCTTTTGCCTCAAATTTACAGTCTGCTTTTTCAGAACTTTCATCAAATATATATTTAAGGGTATCGAGTGTTTTATGATAGCTAACTTTAACCGAATAAACTGACTAGAATTTGATAGCTAACTTTTGATAGCTATTATTTGATAGCTAGTTTTGATAGCTAACTTAACCGCATAAACCGCATAAAAAATCTAATGGTGTTTAAATTTTTTATTGAAAATGTCAGTGACGCTTTTTCACTCAAAATTTTCCAACGGTGTGAGGATGCAAAGAAATAAGTGTAAATGTGTTGAATAGTTCCAAAATATAATGTTATTTCCATTACAACGCACAAACGAAAGGTTGTAAACTGTTCAAATATTTTTCCGTTATCTTAATATTATTGCCAGCAACAGTAACTTAATATTATTGCCAGCTGTATGAGCAATGGAATCTACAATAAGTGTATAGTATTTTGTATCGTTTATCTGCTCATCATTGACATCGACATCAATTATCTGCTCAATAATTCGTTTTAAAAAATTTTTCGCATGAGCTGCACATTTCATATACAGTTAAGTAAGTAATAGATTTCACTTAGATGAGTTAGATTGTATATTATTTTAGCCCAGCTTTTTTAAACGTTATTTTAAAAAAGAATTGAATTCTGAAATCAGTTCCGTAAGGCCCATAAAATTTCCATTGTGTGAAGAGCCCCAGTTTTCGTCATGTCCGCATTCAGATAAAAATTTTATTGCTGCTACTACCCGCTCTAAAATATTATAGCAATGTTTGCAGTTTTAGTCTGTTCTTTTAACTTTATTGTGCTCGATTATTCGATTTTTGTGTGAGGAAGATCATCAAGACTTTCTTATTGTCATTAGATTCTTTATGGGATACAAGTATTTTTCTTATGTTTATCCAATCTTTGCAACCGTCAGATGATAACGCTGCAATGTTTCCTGAATGTTTCCTGTGCCTAAAGAATAATAAACTATGATCCTTACAATTGTTTGACCATTTTTTACAAGTTTACTAAAAAAACTGTTACAAAAAAAATATGCTTTGATCTTTATAACTTTGTATAGATTATGGATATGAATCAATTTACTCTATATTTTGGAAAAACAAAGATAGCAGATTTAGGAAAAAACTGACTAACTCAGAACTAATTAACTTTAGCCAATATCATATATTGTATATTTTACTCTTACATCAATAATATCAGTAATTTTAGATAATTTTCTATCTCTTTTTGCATGTAACTCTTGTCCATATTCTGAACAAGATTTTTTGGCTCAGCATTCGGTATCTACGTTGCCCTCAGCAGTATACTTTTCAATTAGTTCTACATCATTAGTTACATTTACCCCTTCTAAACATTTCTTTAAATGATTCACCTACTTTGACAGCGTTGGATTGGAAAAAGTTGGTAAATATTGGAAGTTTTGATAATGTTTTAATCTTTAATTTTTTTATTTTTTGTTTTGACTACCACTTAAACATCTTTTTCCGGACATTTTTAATTTATATTTATTAACTCCAAACCTTCAAAATAAATTTCAAAGAAATACAACGAAAAATATGTTTACAAAAAATATGGATGTGCTTAAATCAGTTAAAAGTGAGTTTTAGCGTTAAAAATTATTTTTCATTTATGCAATATATATTTCTAAATTATTATTTAGAAATGATTTTGTATTATTATAGATGATTATTAAAAGATGATTTTGTATTATTATACAAAATCATCTTAACGCTTATAATCTTATTAATTTTTACGCCTCATTTTTATTTCGCTACTCTTTGCTGAAATTCACCCAAAGTGAACTGCTTGCAGCTATTTATGAAGTACGTTTTGTCTAAAATATTATCAGTGGTGATTAATTAGGATTATTTTTTATTATCTTATTCCTCAGCGCAGCGCAGCCGGACATTAGTGTGTAGTTTGGTGCTGGGCTATTTCTCCTTGGGGCCCCCTTTCTCTAGGGTGCCCTAGACTTCAGCTTACTTAGCTTAATGGGAGATCCGATACTGAAATTTATTTTTTTTTATTTGGCTTTATAAACTTTTATATTTACATTTATATTTGGATATTATAAGTCTAAATATCTACCCCTGTTGATGTCATTTATAAATACATATTAAAAAACAAACAAACGTAAAAGGACAACTTTCACAAATTATTCACTAGTATTAATTTTGTTTTTATTTTATTTTATTCGTTTATCGCATATTAACTTGATTTTAGGATAAATTTACATATATGTCATAAAGAGTAAACCTTTTTTTTAATTATGTTTATAAGATTGTATTAATTTTTTTTTTTTTTATTATTTGGAAGAAATGAGATCTGCAACTATGACCACGAATGTAAGTGTGACTCTCAATATGTTATTAAAATAATAAATTTTTTTAACCACATTATTTATATCTGCTAATTATGAGTTAACTTCATTTTTTGATATTTTAAATCATTAAGGTCAAAAAACATGTATTTTTTTGTTTTATATTAAAAAATGTGGAAATTTTCGACAGAATATAATTTTCTAGTTTACACATAAATAAAAAAATACTATACTATAAATATTTAGATGATAAATAAAAACTCAAAATTCTCTAATCAGTGGATTAGTGGCGATTGGCGGTGAATTAGCGGTGGATTAGCAGTATAAACTTTAGAATGGGCTTAAATTGTGTTTCACGAACAGTATAAGACTTAGTAAATAAAATAATATAAAACTTATAATAAAAAAATATAAAGTAAATAAAATCCGAAGAAGCATAAGTAGGTTTAAAATTATAATTTATTATTCAACTTTTACACAATAACTTTTATACAATTTAGTATAAGACTGAGGAGGAAATTAGTAATATCCTAATTTTATCTGTTTAAAACATGTTTTTAAACCTATTTTGTGAAAACCTATGGTGCACCTGCAACAGTAAGAAAGAAGAAACAAATCTTTTCAACCCATTATTGATTTTGGTTTTTGTTTTTTGTAGCATTTTACAAAAAAAATGTTCATTCAAAAAATGCTAACCGGATAGACAATCGTGGAAATCATTGCAACAGACAATAGTTGAAATCACTATAACAGACAACAGCCGAAATCATTACAACAGATAATTGTCAAACTTAGCAGATAACCGTTGATTTGTAAAAGTAGTCAAATTTTGTAGGTTTTTTTTAAAATTTTGTGTTTCTTCCATCAGTCGAACTTTTTGTATTGTTTAATTAAAGCTTCTCTATTGATTTTTGCAAATTTATTTTTGAAATCTATTTTTGTTAGAATGTTTATCAGTGGTCTTTATCTATTGCGGATATATTTTCGTTGCAGATTCTTAACGTATTTTTTAAAAAAGGCAAGTATTCTAATAGTATTTAACAAAAGTACTCGAAAAAAAGGATTTGGGTATTTATGATTAAATTGATGATGTATTCAATGATTATTGTAATGCTGGCAATGGTACTGGATTTTTAAAGGTTTCTACTATTTCAATTTTTATATGAAAATATTAGGTTTATTAATAGGAAATAAATCTGTTTTTTGAACTAGTTGAATATATTTTCTGTCGAAGCACTTACCATATTTATGTAACTGTTGATTTTGTAATAGTTTAAACGAGGCAGAAACGGAAGTTAATTAGTAGAAACGGGGATTAATTAATAGAAACGGGGGTTAATTAATAGAAACGGGGGTTAATTAATAGAAACGGGGGTTAATTAATAGAAATGCAAGTGAATCTAAAGAGTAAGTAAACACGTCGATTATTTTATCAATAATTGACCGAAGTAGTTGATGAAGTATACATATAGATAATTGGTTATTATTTTATTAAGAATTAATAAATAATTGATTATATAGATAATTGGTTATTATTTTATTAAGAAATGCAAAGCTTTGCTTAAGCAAAGTTTTGCATTTTATTTAGATTTTTTAAAATAATCTTATTTTAACGTATAATTTAAAAAAAAACACATAACCATTAGGTTCAAAAATAAAAACTCTATTTGAAGACATTCAACCCTCTACTGCATAATGATGCCGATTAGTATCACCGTTTCAATGCTTTTTCATAAGCTCCATGGTGCCAATCAGCATCACTAAACGTTTCTCTTATTTTTATTATCTTTTTCAATATCGATGTTTACGTTCCACTTTTAAACGTTCCGGAAAAAAGGTTTTAAAATCAATAACTTTGTATTTTTTCAAGAATTTTGATTTAATATCTGAGTAAAAACTTATTTTTGGTTCGACAATCATTTTTTTTTTAACTTTAGATAAAATTTATTTGACAGTGCTAGAGCAAACGGTTCATTTATGATTGAAAATAGGATATGTAATGCGAAATGCATCACTATATTCAGCGGCCATGAGTTGATGGTGATGCCAAAATCAATTTATCGCTGCTTGTTTTCTATTTTATTGGTTCCGTTTATTGTACCCCTACACTGTTTTTGCCATTTTAGTAGGAATACTGAATAGATATTTTTATGCTAATATTGGGAGTATGTTAAAGTAATAATTAAATCTGTGAAAATAACTTATAAAAAGTATTTATGCGATAGAGTAAATTTAATAAACGCAATAACTTTTTATATTTTGATCTAGCAGATTGCTAAATTACCATAAATGTTCAATCATTTTATGAAAAAAAATTCCAAGAAAACTATTGCAAGAATATTTTTTATTGAAAGTGATGAAAGTGAGTTGTCTGATGACAACCAGCATGACGAGGACTATAATCCGTCAGTAACTGACAATGAATGAACTGATGTATAGAAGAATGTAATAACATTAAAGACACACTTTCATCAAAAACTAGAAAAGACAACAGCATCCCTTTAACTAGCACACAAATAAAAGCCAAAGTAATACAAAAACTCCAGTGGAAAAATACAAAAGATGTAACAGACAGAAAATTTCAGGAAATTTTCAGGAGACCATTTTCAGGAGATAAGAATCTAGGTGCTCATATGTTGGTGTTAAAAACTCATATTGAATTTTTTGAGTTCTTATTTCCAGCTACATTGGAGCAGCATATTGTTGAGCAGAATAATCTTTATGCAATTCAAAATCGTCCTGAAAATTCACAGCAGCTAACAGTAGCAGAATTAGAAGGGTTTCTAGGCATAGCCATGTGGATCTCTTTGAAAGTACTACTAAGTACAAGACGATACTGAAATATTAAATATAAAGTTGAGAATGTGTCAGAAATTATTATAGACAACAAGTGGGAAGAAATCAAGCGTTTTATCCTCTTCAATCACAATACAACTTTAGAAACAGATGGTTATCGGCTTCACATAGTTAGACCACGTTTGAAGATACGCAAATGTCTGAACACAATTCCTAAGGAAAGGTTTTTGTGTGTAGATGAGCAATTAGTGCCTTGGATGCCAGATTTGGGTCCATTCTGACCCAAATCTCGTATCCAAATCTGGTTTTGCATATGACATAGAAGTTTATACTGTTAAAAAAATTTAGTTCTCTCCGAAGAAAATAATTGTTGCCCAAGTTGGAATATTCCGGACCAAGTGTGCACTTGCCCCGGACTATTCCAACTGTTGCACAAAAACTGTTTTTCAATAATTATTTTAAAAGCATTTATTTAATGGTTTATCTAAAAAATTGAGCAATTCAAAGCGTATGAACTGTGAGAGAAAACAGATCACAAGATTTTTCAACAAATACCGAAAAGGATCTAAAGAAGACTGGCTGTGGATCCATGGTTGAGTACTCAGCTGATCTTGATAGAGTCACTCTTACATTTTTACAAATTTATGAAAATAAAATTGTTTCAAGAGTTTTTATGTGGAGTAATAGATATTTAAAAATAAAGCGATTTTCAAACATATTTTAAATGAAATTTTTATGTTTTTCAATTTAAATAAATTTATATATTTTGAAAAAATTAAAATAAAAAAAATGTGTTTGATTGGTTATCTAGAGCATGTAGATGCTAATTGGCATC